TTTCTGTGTGACTCATTTTTTTCAAATGATTATCTTTTTAGTGATTGTTAAAAGCAAATCAATAAAATTTGACGGATAAAATCCAACATTTTATTTTTTTATTCTCTTTCCTTTAACTTTTGAAATTTGAATTATGCAGAAAGCAACAACAACGACGTTCATCTTTTGTCCAACTTGGTAAGAAAGTATCGCAATGTTATTATGATTTCATAAATAACATAGTTTGGCTTTCATTGTTATAGTCGCAATATGTTACGGCCATCAGTTGATGCCGAAGACAAACAACTTTACTATCGATGCTGTGCTTGTAGTTATAAACATTTGGCTGAAAAAGATGAATGTTTAGTCCGTTTCAGAGAAGTCAAGCCTCCATCAAAGTAAATCTTTACGTATTAATTTTTTTTTGATAATTTATGTCATGGGAAAAATAATAAATTGGATGTGACGCGTGACAATTTAGTTATCTTAAAGAAACTTTAGAAAAGATCAAATCCGATCCAACCTTGACACGTTGTATTGTAGATTGTATGAAGTGTCAAACCAGGGCGGTGGCTGTGGAAGTACACGAAAGGATCTCAACAAAGATGAATTTGTAATTTATATATCACTTCTCTAATACAGTTAAAGCTCGACATAGCGAAGTCCACATTGACCTAATACTTTCGCTATAGAGAAATATTCGGTTATCTGTTATCAGAAGACAAATTTATATGTTCTGACAATATTTATGATGCAAAAAATTTTCGTTATTCCAAATATTCGCTATGCATAAATTCGCTATCTCGAGCGTTGACTGTAATAAATTTGATTTTTTGTCTTTGATTATTTTTTTATTATTCTAATTTCGTTGAATTTTAGGATGTACGTGTGCGAGGAATGTAAAACGATTCAACGTCCATCACGTTTAATTAAGGCTATGATTTCCAATAAAGATGTATTTGAAAGTATGGAAAATATAGATGAGAATGTTGACCTTGAGCAGGAAACAGATCTTGTTTCTCAAAATCAAGAGGAAAATACCGCGGGTTGGGATGAGTTCGTGTATACAGAATCACAAAATTTTTGATTGCATAAAGTAATGAGTGATAGATCAATTTTTATAATAATAGTAATTATGCATTTGTTCGCCGAAATGAGCAACAATATTTAACCAGAGTTCTTTCCAAATTAGACAAAGCGTTGTAGAAATTCGATCATGGATTCTTATATGTAGCATCCTATGATGATGTATTATTTCGAAAATAGTCGATATCCGATAGCGAAAACTTGATATTTCAACCAACCATCTTACGTATCACTTTATGTGCATAATCAGCACAATACAAAAAAAAAAATTTTTCTTTAACTCAAACATACACGAACAACGAAACGGTTATAGTTATACAAGCATGTACCGTATTTAATGCTCACGGGTGTACTTTTACAAGTTACTGTACGTAAATCTTTCTTATTTTCCAAATCCACAATTAAGTTTACTCGTTATGACCTAGAATGTTTCTTGATACATATACTTCCTTCAACCTTTTTCTTTTCTACCTAATAACAATTAAATCGGTTTTTACTGACTTACGGTGTAAAATCTTTGTAGACTGTGTCCAGTGTTAGGCTCGTCTACTGTCTTTCTTAGTTTTATGTTAAACCTTGTAATTTTTGGGTCTCCATTTATACTTGTCGCGCTTTTATTCCCTTTTTTTTTTTGTTTTTTTTTTTTTTTTTTACGCACTTGTATGGTTTTTTCCGTTTATATTTTACTTGAAAACAATTGTAAAATATCACGAGAACAAAAACCGGTGTTCGACTTTTTTTTTTTCTT